AAATCTCTCCGTGGCTGTGGCCATGGCCCCCTTTGACGTGTCTCACCAACTTCTCCACCATCAGGAAGGCTACAATGCCAGCCAGCACCCAGAGCCCCACAGCCATCATCCGCTGGTGATCCTGTCCTGGGGGGCGGAGACAACATGGGGAAGGCTGGGAAAGCCCAGGATACAGCACTGCCCTGCCAATCCCCCACCTGCCCCCAGAGCCATCGCTCCCACCCCAGGCAGCGGGCACTCCAGCTCCTTGCTGGGCTCCCCTCTCATCGCCCCACACAAGCCTCCAACCCCAGCCCCCCTACCCAGCCCCCACTTCCCTGGCCTTACCTTGGTGGGAATGGCCGTGGCCAGCCGACGGCATTTCCGGGGGGTGGGAATGGGGCACTGGGGAGGGAAAGGGGCAGAGATGAGGGCGCAGACCCCTAGGATGGGAAAGACCCACAGCCCGTTCCCTGCTCCCAGAGACTCCCTCCCTTACACCCCCCATCTCATCACTATTGGTGGCGCCTCGAGGGGACAGATCCGGCCCTCCCACCCCCACGCCAGCCAGAGGCCAGATGGGAGCTGGTGCCCCTTGGAGGGGAGACACCCCGGGTCCCCTTCCCCACACGGGCTGCTCACCCAGCGCATGGGGGATGAGGTGCAGGAAGGCGTCCCCCAGGAGGCCCCCTGAGGCAAAGCTGAGCAGCAGCCGGAGCAGTGCCTGGTGCTGGGAAGTGTTTGACTCCACGGGGATGAGGAAGAGGATGAAGTAGGGGGCCGCGCTGATCAGCAAAGTGGCTCCGATGGCCTACAGAGGTTGGGGGGGGAGGAGGAGAGAGACTGTCAGGGGTGATGCCTGCGCAAGCACGTGTGCAGCAGCGCCTCCACATTCGACACGGGAACTCACGTGTGTCCACAACTTGACCAAGTCCTGCCTCTCTTTGCCGGGCAGCCGCTGGTGGCTCGGGGACCCCTCAGCTGAGTGCTGAACATGGACTGACTCGCTCTCGTGGCTAAACTCAGCCTGGCTGGGGCCAGCAGAGTCCCCGTGCAAATGCCCATGGCCGTGGAAGTCCTCATGCGAATGCCCATGGTCGTGGAGGTCCTCATGTGAGTGGCTGTGTCCATGGTACAGAACCTCGTGGCCATGGCCAGCGTGGCTGTGCCCGTGGTGCAAATCCTCGTGGCCATGGCCAGCGTGGCTGTGCCCGTGGTGCAAATCCTCGTGGCCGTGGCCAGCATGGCTGTGCCCGTGGTGCAAATCCTCGTGGCCGTGGCCAGCATGGCTGTGCCCGTGGTGCAAATCCTCGTGGCCGTGGCCAGCATGGCTGTGCCCGTGGTGCAAATCCTCGTGGCCGTGGCCAGCATGGCTGTGCCCGTGGTGCAAATCCTCGTGGCCGTGGCCAGCATGGCTGTGCCCGTGGTGCAAATCCTCGTGGCCGTGGCCAGCATGGCTGTGCCCGTGGTGCAAATCCTCGTGGCCGTGGCCAGCATGGCTGTGCCCGTGGTGCAAATCCTCGTGGCCGTGGCCAGCATGGCTGTGCCCGTGGTGCAAATCCTCGTGGCCGTGGCCAGCATGGCTGTGCCCGTGGTGCAAATCCTCGTGGCCGTGGCCAGCATGGCTGTGCCCGTGGTGCAAATCCTCGTGGCCGTGGCCAGCATGGCTGTGCCCGTGGTGCAAATCCTCGTGGCCGTGGCCAGCATGGCTGTGCCCGTGGTGCAAATCCTCGTGGCCGTGGCCAGCATGGCTGTGCCCGTGGTGCAAATCCTCGTGGCCGTGGCCAGCATGGCTGTGCCCGTGGTGCAAATCCTCGTGGCCGTGGCCAGCATGGCTGTGCCCGTGGTGCAAATCCTCGTGGCCGTGGCCAGCATGGCTGTGCCCGTGGTGCAAATCCTCGTGGCCGTGGCCAGCATGGCTGTGCCCGTGGTGCAAATCCTCGTGGCTGTGCCTGTGGTGCAGATCCTCGTGCGAAGCAGTCAGCTGTAGCAGTACTGCACAGACCAACATGACAGCAACTGGAATGTAGAGTCCAGCTCTGGCCTGCGACCCTCTGGGTACTGCCATCCTGCTGTCTTGGCTGGAAAACAGGAGCACAAGCATCCCCGTCACACCCACGGAACCCCTCCAGCAGGGGTAGAGGGACCCCAGAGGAGGGGAAGAAACTCTAGGGCAGCTGGTGCGAAACCATGGAGGCGTGCGCTGCACGACAACAAGTGATCACAATGCTGCCGGGTCCTAGTGATGGCGAGACCGTGCCCAGAGCGGTGCTGGTGGCTCATGGGGACTAGAGCCGTGTTTCTCAACGACCCAGCCCTCGCCCTGGGGTCTCCCTCGCACAGGCTCGGGTCCCTGGTATGAAAAAGGCTGAGAAATGCTTTTCTAGATCCACCCCGGCAGGATCGCCATGACTCCCGCAGTGCAGCCCTACCAAACAACCGCACCCTCTCAGGCAGCGGATCTGTCTGGAGCACCCCCACGTCACCTCACTTCAGGCCCACTTGCTGACGAGGTCGGACGCAGCAATACGAAAGTGACACAGCCGCCTTACTGCCGACCAACCGCAGACTCTCCTTTCGGCCAGGCAACGGTGCAATAAAGCACCGGGCAGCCGTACACACTTGCGCCTTAGGAGATACTGCGTACGGCAGCGACAAGCGGGCGGCGCACGTAGGACGGCAAACCGCAGCTTGCATGGACTTGGCTAATGCCTTTCACATCGCCTGCTGTAAAACTAGGCAAATGCCTATGCGGCTAATGGAGCCGGTGCAAGATCTCGGTGCACCCCTGGGTGGACGTGTCTGCCTGGCTGAGAACCATGTTGCTAGATCCTCTACGCGCTCTCCTCCGGCAGCGACCCCTTACACAGCGCTGGGGCCCGACACAGGCCTGTCCATGCCATCTGCCTGCGGCAACGACCGGAGCGTGGCTCCTTCTGCCACCCAGAGCTTTACAGCCCAGGGCCGTCCCACAGGGTTGGTGTGTTGCCATAGAGCACTGGGGGCTGCTATGCAGCTCCCAGTTATGGGGGTGGGTTGTGAGCTGAGCTGCCCGAGAGCCACTCACCAAGTCCCCCCAGTGTCTATGGCAGGGGTCTCCAACCTTTTTACACCCAAGATCACTTTTTAAATCTCCAAACAGGCGAAGATCTACCGCCCCGCCCCTTCCTTGAAGCCCCGCCCTCTCTATTTTCCTCCTGTCCATCACTTGCTATCCCCAGCCCTTACTTACACACTCTGATAAACAGTTTATTTTTAAATTATGTGATACATACAATTAAAATCAGGTGTTTCTAGTTATGAAATAAATGGTTTTTTTTATTCATGCTATTTAAATCTAAAATGAAGCATTTCTAATTATACATTTTGTGGGGACAGAGTACTGCAGCTGGGGGCAGGGGAGAGGGAACAGAGTGCAAGGGGGGCAGAGGACAGGGTTCTGCAGCTGGGGACAGGGTGCCAGTGGGGACAGGAATAGGGACAGAGTTCTGTAGCTGGGGACAGGAGAGCGGGGACAGAGTTCTGTAGCTGGGGACAGGAGAGCGGGGACAGAGTTCTGTAGCTGGGGACAGGAGAGCGGGGACAGAGTTCTGTAGCTGGGGACAGGAGAGCGGGGACAGAGTTCTGTAGCTGGGGACAGGAGAGCGGGGACAGAGTTCTGTAGCTGGGGACAGGAGAGCGGGGACAGAGTTCTGTAGCTGGGGACAGGAGAGCGGGGACAGAGTTCTGTAGCTGGGAGCAGGGGAGTGGGGACAGCGTTCTGTGCCTGGGGACAGGGGACAACGTGTGGGGAGGGGAGTGGGGACAGAGTTCTGTGGCTGGGGACAGGGGAGTGGGGACAGAGTTCTGTGGCTGGGGACAGGGGAGTGGGGACAGAGTTCTGTGGCTGGGGACAGGGGAGTGGGGACAGAGTTCTGTGGCTGGGGACAGGGGAGTGGGGACAGAGTTCTGTGGCTGGGGACAGGGGAGTGGGGACAGAGTTCTGTGGCTGGGGACAGGGGAGTGGGGACAGAGTTCTGTGGCTGGGGACAGGGGAGTGGGGACAGAGTTCTGTGGCTGGGGACAGGGGAGTGGGGACAGAGTTCTGTGGCTGGGGACAGGGGAGTGGGGACAGAGTTCTGTGGCTGGGGACAGGGGAGTGGGGACAGAGTTCTGTGGCTGGGGACAGGGGAGTGGGGACAGAGTTCTGTGGCTGGGGACAGGGGAGTGGGGACAGAGTTCTGTGGCTGGGGACAGGGGAGTGGGGACAGAGTTCTGTGGCTGGGGACAGGGGAGTGGGGACAGAGTTCTGTGGCTGGGGACAGGGGAGTGGGGACAGAGTTCTGTGGCTGGGGACAGGGGAGTGGGGACAGAGTTCTGTGGCTGGGGACAGGGGAGTGGGGACAGAGTTCTGTGGCTGGGGACAGGGGAGTGGGGACAGAGTTCTGTGGCTGGGGACAGGGGAGTGGGGACAGAGTTCTGTGGCTGGGGACAGGGGAGTGGGGACAGAGTTCTGTGGCTGGGGACAGGGGAGTGGGGACAGAGTTCTGTGGCTGGGGACAGGGGAGTGGGGACAGAGTTCTGTGGCTGGGGACAGGGGAGTGGGGACAGAGTTCTGTGGCTGGGGACAGGGGAGTGGGGACAGAGTTCTGTGGCTGGGGACAGGGGAGTGGGGACAGAGTTCTGTGGCTGGGGACAGGGGAGTGGGGACAGAGTTCTGTGGCTGGGGACAGGGGAGTGGGGACAGAGTTCTGTGGCTGGGGACAGGGGAGTGGGGACAGAGTTCTGTGGCTGGGGACAGGGGAGTGGGGACAGAGTTCTGTGGCTGGGGACAGGGGAGTGGGGACAGAGTTCTGTGGCTGGGGACAGGGGAGTGGGGACAGAGTTCTGTGGCTGGGGACAGGGGAGTGGGGACAGAGTTCTGTGGCTGGGGACAGGGGAGTGGGGACAGAGTTCTGTGGCTGGGGACAGGGGAGTGGGGACAGAGTTCTGTGGCTGGGGACAGGGGAGTGGGGACAGAGTTCTGTGGCTGGGGACAGGGGAGTGGGGACAGAGTTCTGTGGCTGGGGACAGGGGAGTGGGGACAGAGTTCTGTGGCTGGGGACAGGGGAGTGGGGACAGAGTTCTGTGGCTGGGGACAGGGGAGTGGGGACAGAGTTCTGTGGCTGGGGACAGGGGAGTGGGGACAGAGTTCTGTGGCTGGGGACAGGGGAGTGGGGACAGAGTTCTGTGGCTGGGGACAGGGGAGTGGGGACAGAGTTCTGTGGCTGGGGACAGGGGAGTGGGGACAGAGTTCTGTGGCTGGGGACAGGGGAGTGGGGACAGAGTTCTGTGGCTGGGGACAGGGGAGTGGGGACAGAGTTCTGTGGCTGGGGACAGGGGAGTGGGGACAGAGTTCTGTGGCTGGGGACAGGGGAGTGGGGACAGAGTTCTGTGGCTGGGGACAGGGGAGTGGGGACAGAGTTCTGTGGCTGGGGACAGGGGAGTGGGGACAGAGTTCTGTGGCTGGGGACAGGGGAGTGGGGACAGAGTTCTGTGGCTGGGGACAGGGGAGTGGGAATCCAGCATGCACCTCCCCGGGGGCTGACTCACCCCTCCTGTGCGGTGCCGGGAGCCGATGCTCCCTCCCGCAGTACACCCGGCAGAGCAGCTAGCGCTACTTCCGGAATCACCAGAAGTGGTGCTAAGCTGCAGGACTTCTGTCCATCCCTGGGAAGCCCACACTACCTCCATTTTCACTTGAGTTAGGTCAGGGCTTCTCGGTGGTGGCAGAAAAATGGGGGCGGGGCGGACAGAACGCCTCGTGATCAACTGGTCGAGGCCTCGCGATTGACCAGTCGATCGCGATCGACCTGTTGGTGACCACAGTTCTATGGTCAGTGGAGTGCCAGGCAGGCCCCCCAGTATCTATGGTCAGTGTAGGGGGGGCCCAGGGCCCCTTCCCCAGCATGTCTATTGCTATTGCACCCTCCAGCCTGGACTGGGCTCTTTGAGCCCCCAGGGCGCTCTGGCTCCAGCCCTGGAAGCTCTATGGCCCAGCTCCCTAAGCCCAGACCCGTGCAGGCCCTCTAGCCCCCCTCCCGGGCTCTATGGCCCCGGCCC